CAAAACAGGGGGTACAGACCCCAGGATGCAGTCAAAATGGGATATAGACCCAGGGACTCAGACTACATGGGCTAAAGACCCCAGGGATTCACCCAAAACAGGGGCACAGACAAAATGGGGGCATAGACCCTGGGATTCAGCCATCATGAGGGCACAGACCCCAGGTTTCAGCCAGAACAGGGGCACAGAGCCAGGGATTCAGTCAAAATGGGTGTATAGACCCCAGAGATTCAGCCAACATGGGGTAAAAGACCCCAGGCTTCAGCCAAAACGAGGACACAGACCCCAGGGATTCAGCTAAAACGGGACACAGACTCCAGAATTCAGACAAAACAAGGGCATAGACCCCAGGATTCAGACAAAACAAGGGCATACACCCCAGGGATTCAGTCAAAACAGGGGTACAGACCCCAGGATTCAGCCAAAATGGGGTACAGAACTGGGTGCTGGTTTAGCCCAGCCCTCAGTGCAGTGATTCCTCACTCTCTCTATTGTTGCTTGGGGGTTTATGTACAAATCCTGAGTGGGATGGGACTGCTGCATCTAGAGCTGTTTATTCTCCAGCACCACTCTCATTATTACATGCTTATGGCAATGGGAGGATGCCAGCAGCTCATTTTCTTGTCAGTAGCCAAAGAACTTAATGTTACAACTCACTTTAAAAGTGTTTTGACCAATCACACAGAGCAAAAGCACATTGCCAGTAGTTCTACTCAACCACTATAAGCACAGGTACCTTTGTTAAACAATGCTTGCTTATTTCAAATACAATACCTGCTTGTAAACATTAAAATGCAATGCACAGAGATCCTTTATTAGAACTCCCTAATGTCTCTCTGGATATACTTTTCTGCATCTTAGGGAGTTATTCTAACCAAGTACCATTGCTCTATTTGTCCTTACTTTCTACATCTCATATAACTTTTCTGCTGACAAACCTTATGGCTACTGCTTAGCTCTAATCACAGTTCTGTTGTCTCTGAGGCCTGTCTTTTACAGCTTTCCCAAAACCCTCTGATTGTAAGGATTCCCACTCATAACACCAAGGCATCCAGATGCTTTTCCCTGTATTTTCTGTAGAGAAGTCACAGCTGCAAAACTGGAGGTCAGTAACCTGATCAGAGCCTCTCCAGACCTGACCAGAACACATCAGTTCCCTCACCAAGGAATGAAGCTCCCAAATACCCTGCTTGCTTTTGGAAAAAACAAAGAAATAATACATCCAGTACCAAATCCAGTATCTTCCATAATGATTTGGGTACTTAAAGAAAAACATACAAAACTTCATGGAAACTGACACAGCACCACCAAGTCCAGTCATACTATAAACAAACAAACTAACCAGGCTAACTCAAAGCAATGAGCTACCCCTAAAATCCTCTGTAATTTGGGACAATCACTACCTGCCCACTGATTAACAGCACCAGAAGAGACACAATCACCAGGGCAAGAGAAGCATTGAGAGCTGCTTTGTGTGTCCCTGACCTGACACAAAAATGAAGGATGTGCTCATGAATCCAGATAAATTCTTTATTTTTATATTTTTGGTGAATTGGGCATGGATGTGCCCAAATTACTGTGCAGAACTAGTTCTGGTATTGATTCTTTCCTAAGCATGTTGGAATACAGCCAGATTCCAAAAAGAAAGTCTAAATACCTTTATCCTGACATCAAAAGACAACAGGTTTTTTTTTTCCTTCACTAGAAATCAATAGAAAGAAAGTTTAGTTGAGAGGGAACAAAGCAGGTAACAAGAATATGATCACCAGGCCCTGTGAGTAAATGCCTGACAGACAACAAACACTTCTCTAACCTGCAAAAGCAGAGTAAACAACAAACAAACCCCAGCAAGAGGCAAAGCCCACAAGCAAGGCATGGTGCAGAGCTTTGCTCCCTCCTGGTTTGAATCCTGGGAGATCTCTAACTTTAGGAACAGTGGTTACAAGTTGAGACAGCATACCCAGGGCCCTCAACCCTCTCTCCCCCATGGTTCCACAGCCTCCCCAGGGCACAGAGCTCTGCCTTCCACCTCCCTCTGGGGACACCCTCAAACCTCTCTGGCCAAGCCTTCCCACTAAGCAAACTCCTAATAAGGCTTTTTTTATAGCTGCACCCCATTCCCACTGCATCTCCACAGGCTCCTGCAGGGAATCAAGTCAACAAGACATTGCACACCTTGTTCTGGTCCAAAATATCCATCAGCCAGGCCTTTAAATTCACACCTAACATTAGAACTCAGGGATGTACACACAGCTCAGGGCTGGGAATGTAACAAACAGCCTGGGAGGAACCCAGGGCTACAAATACACAACTATCCTTTGGAATAATATTGCAGTGTGCTTTCAGCAGGAAGGAATTCATTTGTGACATATTTATAAACAAACAAGGGTTGTTTGTTGAAATTGTGAGGCTGCTGAAGTTAACAGAAGTGAAGACCAGTGACAACAGCATTTCCTTCTACAGTTAGAAAAACTTCAGCCTCTGTTCCTGACTATGTATTTACCCTGTTAAAAAATCAGAAACATCATGGAGAAAAAAACTGAGGATGGCTTTCTTTCCCCCTGAAATTAAGAATGGTATCATGCTAGCAATGGCCATGACATAAGGCTTCAACTCTAATTGCAAAACCACTATAGAAAATAAAATATTTACTAATGATCTTTCACTTTTAATCTCAGCTCAAACAGAGCAATTAAATATATTAGTTCCATCTTTGTCTTGGAGTAATTAGATTAGTTTCTTCTCTAGGAATAAAAATAAAAAAAGTCATACTCTAACTCTGGGAAAGCACCAGGGAATATTTAGTACCAGAACAACAACAGTGGCAAAGCTCCCTTGCTGATGGTGTAATTACAGAAACAAATTAGAGGTATTCTAAATACTCACATACATGTAGATAGATACAGACTCTGGGAAGATGCAAAGGGTCACCCAAATTCTTCATAAAACACTAAGTCAAAGTAGTTGAGAGCTTCAGACAAGCAGACTTTTCAAACACTTCAATAAGAGAAGTGTGAATGGTTCCTGTTCACACAGGTCCATCCTTGCACACTGACAGTGCTCAGGTGCCATAAATCCATCCCTTCCTCCAAAACTCCACAATCCTGCCCATGCTCAGCCAGATGTCTGCCAGCTGTGCCATCCTGGGTCACCCTGAAACACTGTGGCTGGCTGCAATCAGTGAGTGACAGCAAGGAGAAAAGTAAACTTGTCTCTAGAATCCCCAGACTCGAGCAGAGAGCCTGGCCACACCACACACACAGGAATTTGACTTCCTCAGTTTTGAGCTTTCATCTTCTAAAACACCCCCTATGTTGAATTAAGCCTTTCCTGACCCAGAGATGGGGCAACTGAGAGGAGTTTTAAAAACATTTATTCCATTTTCTCGGTCTCATGAGAAGGGTGGGACAATACAGGTGTTATAATTCACACCATCACAATCAGAAGCCAATTATTTCCTAATTACAATACACTCTGTTTCTTGGCCTATCAGCTTTTGCCAGAGGAAAAATGTGGAGAATGTGTCTGGGTCAGAAAAAGGCTTAATCTGACACCCCTACTGTTAAATCAGAACCCTCCCCTTGGGGAGGAGGCTGGAGGGAAGAAGAAGGGGAAGCATTTACCTTTCAGGAGGCACGCTGTCCGTGTTGCTGCTGTGCCGCCTCTGCATTTTCCTCAAAACCCTAAAACACAGCACGCTCAACATGAACCCTGCGGCTCAGCAAATCCCAGAGTGGCTACTGGCACAGGCCCTGGGGGCAGAGGGCACTGGGACCCGCTCAGCTGGGCACATGGCTGGCAGCAAGCATTGGTTTCTGTGACAGAGCACCTCCAGCTCCCATTTGTTTCTCAGCACGCTTGAAGGGACAGCTTTGAATGGCAAAGGGGGGCACACAGGTGTCCAGGCTGGGCAGGAGTCAGTCAGAAAGTAGCAGTCACCAGGAGGGATGGCATGTCCTGGCAAGGGACATGGGGACACCTAACAGTGGCTCTCGAGGTGACACAGGACTCAACAGCCTCTGGGGAAATGAGATCCAGTCTTCCTTTTCTGCAGGAACTTGCTCTGCAAAGCAAAACTGAGAGGGAAGAAGAAAAAGAAAGTGTGTAAACACTTCTAATGAAAAAAATACTATTAGCTCATGACAATAAACAACTCATCCATTTTAATCTACAGAAATACCATTTGCAAAGTCTGGACAATAGGCCCAGAGTACAATAGCTACTTAATAAAATGTACAGACTAAGATGTAAATACTCTTGAATATAAAAACTTATAATATTATTCATAACACATGTCAATATATACATAGATGTGCAGCCCATGTGTAAAGGCACAGTGGCTCTGGGAAGGTTTGCCAGCTGTCTCCAAGCACAGTACCTGAAGAACAGCTTTATGCAGAGGTGAAAGGTGCCACTGGCAGAGATGGAAGCCCAGGAGCGTGCAGACATTCACAGAGGGAGTGCTTCAGACAGTCCAGGACAGTCCAGATTCCAAACTCATCCCAGTCCTCCCAGCCAGTGACTGTCAGCACCTGGCCCTGGTGCTCACACAGGGACACCTGGAGGAAGCACACACAGAGAGCAATTTTCAGCACAGCACAAAGAGTTTTACCTCTTGCATGTCCCTGGGAAAGGCAGAGAGGTGCAGGAACCCTCGGTGCTTCAAGCCCTGCCCACGTGCAGGGCCCAGCAAAGCTGTTTGCCTGTGGGATTGGCACCCGCAGCCCTGCTCCCCACACAGGCACTCCCTGGGAGTGCTCCAGAGCTGTGCTCTGCCTTCCGTGTGTCCATACACACATCTTTTGTCACACACACACACATGTGTGTGTATATGTGTCTGGAATAAACATAGACATAAATGTATTTATATATACATGCACTTGCATCACAGAACGTATCATACACATATAATATGTACTTTATATATCCATCTGTACATACACATATGTACAAATGCATGTGTATGTGTATACACATATATATACACATACTTACATATACATAGATGTATAGGTATAGATCTGTTAATGTATACCTACATACCTATCTATTAATAATTCTATACATATATATGTGTATATACATATATATACACACACATATAAAAACACAGCTATATATATATCTACATATCTATATATCTACACACACATGTGCATAGTTTACATATCTAGATATACATACATATCTATGTATAGGTATACATACATGTATATACATACATAGAAAGACATACTATTAATACAGTTCTATATATATATACACACATATACAAATCTATATATATACACAAATACATAGTATACATATATAGATATACATACCTATATATGTATAGATATACAAACATGCATATACATATATATACACAGAAATATCTATTAATACAGTTCTATACCTATACATACATATATACATCTATATATATACATACATATATACGTGGTATACATATATATACACCTATATACCTATATAGACGTAGATATACACACATGTATATATATATATGCAGGAGTATCTAGTAATACAGTACTATACATACATATACACATCTATAAATACAAATATATATATGTATACATAGTATACATATATAGGTATGCATACCTGTATATACATCTATATACAGACATATCTATTAATATGATTATATACATACACATAAGTATATACATCTATATATACACACAGTATATATATACACTCATATATATAGGTATACACGTATATATAGTTATACATACATGTATATACATCTATGTACAGAAATACCTATTAATACGGTTCTATACCTATACATACATCTATATATATGCATACATATATACA